GTCAGTTTCTCTACTTGTAATAGAGTTGGTAAGCGAACAGCATGGATCCTGATCAGACTGCGCGGATGCGCAGGCTGGTCTGGATCCATGCTGGTCGCAAACGCACTATGTTGCTTTTGTCATGACACGGCTCATATAATAAAACATATTACATCGGCAATTTGTACATAGTTTAGCTTAGGAGCAGGAGGTAATCATTTTGTAAGACTTATATAAAAACAGTAAAGAAACTGAAACAAAAATGCACTACTGTACATTTGTTACATAAAATCTGTACTATAAAATAATTAAAATCAGCTGTAAAGCTTTCTGTCCTTCCGCCAATTTATTATACAATGTATACAGAAATGGACACAAAAATCAAAGGAAGTGTTATAGATACATATATGTTATATAGACCTGTAGTAAAACAATAAAACAACAATTTGGACATAAAGTTTATTTGATGCCATGTGGACAAAAAATACAATTAGTAATCATATTTACAATAATAGAAAATAAAGGGAAGTAAGGCAAAATGATATTGGCTCTTTGTTGTTCTTACAGTTATCTCCCGTATAACGGATAATGAATTAATGGCTAAATGTGACGGCCTTCTATAAATACACACCATCAAACAGTCATCAGAGGATTTTTTTCTATTAAAAATCAGGAAATGTATTTTATTCAAGTCACTTTTGTCGATGTTAACAATTAACCGCTTTAAGTGTTTACTTCTGAAATAGAGAGGGCGTTTGAAAATAAACCTATTTTTTCTTAGTGTATTCATCGAAATCTATCCCGTTTCTTATCTTAAGTTTTTATGTAAAAAAAAACAACCTATATTTCCAAAAGAAAAACAAATAAACGCCCTTGTGTACGTTTTTTTTATATTAATAAATTTAAAATGAACAGATTTGAATAGTAGGTTAAATTTAAAACTTTAAGGAAAGTTTTATAGGTCACACATACCGCTGTGTTATCTTTACATTTGTCAACAGTTAACATTTTTTTAACATAGTAGGCTTTATTTTAAGAAGATCTCTACAATTCTGACAGCATACAGATGATAAAAGACAAGTAGGTTTTAAAGTTATACTGATTTTTTCTGTATTACTATTTTGAACAGTTACTGTCTTATCTAGGCGAAATATTCTTTCAATGTACATTCAAATGAACCCACGAACACCCCCCACCCCCCAAAAAAAACAACAACAAAAAAACAAAAAAAAACACACACACATCCAAGAAAAACAAAACAAAACAAAATAAAACAAAACAAAACAAAAATAAATAAATAAACAAAACAAAACAAAACAAAACAAAACAAAAATAAATAAATAAATAAACAAAACAAAACAAAAATAAATAAATAAATAAATAAATAAATAAATAAATAAATAAATAAATAAATTAAATAAATAAAATAAATAAATAAATAAATAAAATTAAATAAATAAAATGAAATTAAATAAATAAAATGAAATTAAATAAATAAATAAATAAATAAATAAATAAATTTTAAACAACAGGATTTCATCTTCAACTGATGAAGCTTATAACGCGGAACATTTATTGATATTTAAAATTGTGTTGGCTTTTGGTTTATTTGTCCTTTTCTCAATCACGATTTTAACCTAATGAATTCATGACGTCAGTCTCATGAATATTCATGATATCAGCGAGTGTTCATATCTTCTCCATTGCATGTGATAATTTATGGTGGCTGATTTGGTACACTACAAAAGTATTGAGGCTATTCGTTGCCAAAAATCCAGCCTTGTTGATTTGAGTTGAACAGTTTGTTAACGAAAAAAATACATTTCTTTGTATGTAAACTCCAATGTTACATTCTTGGATTTAACATTGTAAACATGCATTTCAACAAAATACATTTTGTTAAATGACAAAACATTAACTGTTTTGCTGATAGTAGCAATACCAAGTGTTGGAATACTCATTGTTAGTGTATATGCCAACAAAACAGAAGTTACATTCTTAGCTTTACATTGTCGAACCATCATGATTCGGATCAGCATAATCCAGCTTTACACGTTTTTCAATAGGAGACAAGTAATATGGTTTCCTGCGGGGAACATTTTTAATGATATAAAGATATTTCATTTAACTATTTTCAACATTGCTTGGGGGGGGGATAGATAAACGTTTGTATCAGGAATATAGTTGACAATAATCGATCAATATAGAGGAAGTTCTTTGGAAACTGGTGACCGTTATAGACCGGAGAAGGCCGAACATACAACAGTTATTTCTTTTTAAGAAAATGATTAAAGATGCCTACCTTATTATAAATTCCGAGCAAAAAAAAAATTAAACACACAAGTTTACGCAGAAAATATCTCTATTTATTATGGCAGATGCCACTACGAGTATTTTAATTTTGTAGATTTTCAGTATAAACAAAAAATTTAATGTTTGTAAAATTTGAATAGATATTAAAGTAACATTGAAATTTTCAAACAAATCATTCAAGTTTTTCCACCTTAAACGGTAAAATTGTTATATAAGATTAGAAATACAACGTAATAGTTTTTTGTTCTTAATTAGGTGTAATTCGGACTATGACCCTAGAGGTAAATCCGTAACGTACCGGTACACGGTATTTAGCTAGGTTTTCGAAAAGGTCAATTAACCAATCATGTACGGTTTATGGATCACATGCTCCTCCATGTACCGAAAACAGGTCACGTGCTCCTCCATGCCTCAAAAGTTAAACGCGTACCAATACCCTGCGGTCTCCAGACCGCAGGGGCCTGGGTATTGCGGTCTCCAGACCGCAGGGAATAAACAAAGCTCCGCCCATTTTCCCTCCCACTACATAATCGTAAATAAACGTATTTATCCACTCACCTTCGGTATTTACCGTCGGCGACAAGAAGCTGCGTAGTTTCCGTTTACCAAACCTTTTAGGTGTTTAGTTATTCACCAAACTAATCACATTCACTTGCATGATTGCCATTCTATGCCTTTATACAATCAACATCAGCGGACTTAAAAGGATTATAGGCATACGTTGTAGATACCATATTTCCTAGAAAAAAAAAAACACTAAAAAATAATAATAATAAAAACCTCACCAGGCTACTAACTGCCTGAGGTTAAATATTTTTCAAGGAAGTAAAAGCTATTGATAAGACTACTAGTATATTCAATGATAAATAAATTTTACTGAGGGGATTCCAATTTGCATAGGAATGAGTAACATTGGCAGTTAAGCTGCTACCTTACCACTTTCAAATTTTCAATTCAACATCTGATAGAGATTTTGATACGACTAATTACTAATACACTGTTGTCTTTCCTTGTAGTAGCATTTACTATCACATTAGTAACCCTAATTCTAGCGTATGACTTGACAAGAAAAAACTTTAAACGATAGTAAAATTAGAACAAAAGTTGTATGTACCCTTTCGTACATTAATTTTTATTTTTACCATACTGTATAGATATAAATTCCCATATTTACCATTTCGTTTTTTAATAATAATATTTAAAGTCCAAAGGTATGTATGTTGATTAGCTGATTATCAATTTATGTATACCTTGTTTATTATATCTCTTAGAAAGCCATCGCTTACCAAACTTAATAAATATTCTGTGTAGTATTTCATGTAAAAATAGTTCTCTGCTTTTGATCAGATAGACAGCATGTCTAGGTAAGAGCTATTGACAGCATGTACTCGCAGATTTAAGAGTTGCTATTGATTCAGTAAAATGCATGAAAAGACCTTAACCTACGTCAGCTTACATATATTGAATAATAAAAGGCTAAAAACACATCCTATGACTCAAAATACCTCCCAATGGAGGTAAACAGAGATGCTAGGATACATTGAATATTTATTTCAACATTAAAATGGGACAAATTCACAAGCTTTTGATTATACAATGGAATGATCGATAGTAAACTTTGAATTGTTTCATGGTTATACACTTGGTCAAAAATATGTTTTTTTCTACAATCCACATAGTCCTTTAAAGAAAGAAGGCACGGGCTTACTGATCAGTTCTCTTTGTTCGTGCTGCCATTAAAGTGACTTCCATGTATCGCATTTTAGTACTATTTGCTGAATGTAAAAGATATGCATTTGAGTATTACCGTGTAACGTTTGAAGGGAAACAAACGCTATCGTTCATATCAACAAATTGTGGTGTGTGTCATTATATATGGGAAACATTCCCTTATGTTATCTCGCCAACTTTAGTTTTTGCATATTATTATGCTCATTATCAGTATAAACGTTGTTACATTGTTACATTATATCTTAACCGATTTTGCATTACTTGAATATCCTGTACTAGAATACGTTTTAACAAAATCAGAAGATGTTCAAAGTCAACTGTAATGCAGTTGATGTATGTATAACAGACAGTTCATATAAAATTTGAAATATTTTTGTAACAGCAAGAGTTACCTCTCTTTATATTCTTGGCTCCGTCTATTCATTTTCGCCTATTTCCGTGATAAATCCATATATGGAAGTTGTAAAATCGTTTACAAATGTTAATCGCGGTAGTATGTAAAAGGAAAGTGTGGTGTTGTAAACCTGAGTGTGTCAAGTTGATGCAGTTACATTCTCAACGTCATGATGTACAGCATTTAACTTGTTGTGTACGTTCTATCGTTTACATTTCTACATGTCGCTTTGAAGTTATACATTTATAATACAGTTTGCAATTTATCTAAGTTGCATGTTTACAGCTTCCATTTTATCAAATCGAGTTAATCAAAATGCCTAATACCAGTGCAGTATGTAACTCTCGGATCGACAACTAGATTTTTACTAATTTGTTTAGTAGAACCCAAGTATGCATTGTGAAGTCTCAAAGGCTGGACTTTTGGCAAAGAACAGCCTCCATACAAATATTTGAGCCGAGCAACAATATGACATCGCGACAAAACGCCGTTTGACTATGGCAGACCTGCGCAGGAGAATAGCGAGAAATTGACTATAATGGCTTTCCATACATTTTATGATATCACTATATTTAAACAGTGAACTTTTTATCAATACGTAAAATAAAGGGTGAAGATAACGGGTTGAGTTGGTCATTTTAGCCTATGACTATTTCGGATGGAGATATTTACGAACATTTTATATACATGTATATTGTGGACTGTGTTTAAATTAAATTACACTTTATATTCCGGATTTAACTTTTATCATTTATATATATATTTGAAGCACAACATATTCAGAATGTTTCCGCACTGAACAATATTCATAAGAGTGTTTTCATTATGTAGATTGGATTGTGATGTAAAAAAACAAAGGTACGCAGTTTTACTTCTCATAATAGTTTTAATTGTTTTAAAAGGCAAGTTTTAAGTAAAACAAGACAATAGAAGATGACAATCGTAAGCGCGCAGTTATACAAAATATGTTACAGAAACCACTTCACGTACATGTATTAAACTAGTGGTCGCACTGTCTGACCCTTGACCTTAAGTATTTGTCAACACGAGCTTGTATTAATTATGTCAGTGATATTGTTATGAAATTTGAAACTAATCTTTTACTAGAAGAGTATTCTTTTAGAATGGTAAATCTGGACAATATTTCTAAGCTGGTTAAAATGTTTATGTTAACTTTTACTCATTTTTGTTGTAAAACAATTGAGTCATTAACAGTCCAGAATATTGGCACAGCTCAGTTATTTTTAGATTATGATCATACCTCATTCCAAATTTGGAAAGGTCGCGCAGACAAAGGTCGCGCGACACTTAAGGTCGCGCAAAAGGAAAGGTCGCGCAGAATCAGCTTTCCCAGGCATGCTAGTTCCAAATATGGAGAGGTCGCGCAATAAGAGGTCGCGCAGACTAAAAGTACAAGGTTTAAGTTATTTTTAGCCCTTCAGCATCTCAATTGTTGTTAACAAAGCATAATTTGGTCATATCAGATTTTATGAATGGGATTCCTTCCTGCTTTATCTATGTACAGGTTACTTGGTTCAAATGTTGAGCTGTATGTTGTAAAGCTGGAGAGATTATATTTCTGTTGTTTAATGAATTATCAGTCAGTATTAAAAGTTTATAGAAATGTCAATCAGTAGTAAATGTATTGGTCTTATAAGCCATATATAGTACATATATCTTTATTACTGCAAGTATATTTTGCACTATTAAGATGCATTATTGGACAGATAATTATTATCCTATTGAGTGTTCAAACATGTAAATTTATATAACTATTATGTATTTTTGTACTAATGTTTGTATTGTACAACAGTCTGTATACCTGAACCAGTTGCAGGCCATTTTGAACATTGTTAAGGCATTGTCAGCATTTTAAAAGGTCGCGCAACATTCAGGTCGCGCAATGAGTTGTGTGCAAAACTGGAGAGGTCGCGCAATAAGAGGTCGCGCAACAGTCTACTTTTGCACACCACCCTAGCTGCGCAAACAGAAGGGTATATAAGCTGGGAACTTTTCTAGCTGGGTTAGTTTTGGAGTTTTGGAGTTTTTGAGGAGTTTTGGAGTGAGTTGGAGTTGGTTGAGTTGAGTTAGTTAGTAATTGCAGAAATGTATTTGTTGAAGTTGTTAAGGATTTTACTTTGGTTTTGACTGTTGATAGAGAATAAAATGATGCATTATTTTGATTTACTGCAATAAATATAATCCTGCTTTCACTTGGACTTGACTTGTTCATTTTACCAGCATAGAGAAATGGTTTACTTTTAAGCGAAAAAAGTGAATAAACAAAGCTTTTCACAAAAGTGAAATGATTTCGTAACACTGGTGGCAGCGTCGGGATAAAGACTTTAACATGCTTCAGCATAGGGATAAAGACTTTGATTTTTTCTACTTTTGAGTGTAATGGACTTACAAAAAAATGGAAAAGGAATTAGAATCATTGCGTCAGACTGTTTCTTTGTGCTGTTTAGAAATAGGAAATATCTCCAAAGAACTAGTTAGTCATAGTGAAAATCTAACAAGTGCATTTAGTGATTTTTGTAACAAAGTGAATGAAATTTTAGAAAAGAAAAATAATGAAATCAGTGAATTAAAATCATATAATGCAAAATTACGTGCTTCTATGTTAGACGATGACACTCAGGTTTTAGAAGAAAGTCAGTAATATGGGACCTAAGAAATCTGCTAGATCTGCATCAGCATCACGTCTTGAAAATTCAGAACTTACAATGGATTTACGTCAACAACTTTCCAGAAAAATTGATGAAAATGATGATTTACAAGCTAATTTAACTGATGCATTGGCAAATATTGAGAAATTAAATGAAACTGTCAAAATTTTACAAAGTGAAAAAGTTGGATTACAAGAAATTATAGAAAGTGAAAATGAACAATTTCGAAGAGATAAGGAAAATTTGAACAGTCTATATCATACAACTCAGATGAATAGAGACAGACAAATCCAAGTATTGACAAATGAAATTGATGAATTACAAAATATTTTACAATCAAGAGATGTTGAACTTAGTCGCCTGCAGAACATTGCATTACGAGAAAGTAACCAAAGAAATTCTCGGGATTATAATGTTCCACTACCAAACCAGGTTCTTTTTGATGGTAAAACGTCATACACCGCATTCATACGTCAATTTGCTGTGTTGGCTGAAACATGCCAATGGAGTGATAAAGAGAGGGCATTTCGCTTGCTGAATAGTCTGAGGGACGATGCAGCAGAGTTTGTATTCAACCAGGTCAGTCCTGAAACTCAACAATCTTACACACAGCTTGAGCAATGTCTAGCAGCAAGATTTGTAGAAAGACGTTCTACTGCCTCTTATCTGATGGAGCTCGAAAATGTAAAGCTTCACTCAAGGGACAAACTCGTGGAGTATGTTGCAGATATAAAGCGTCTGGTTCGAAAGGGCTACCCCACTGCAGATGATCACACTATTGGTACAATTTGTTTACGGCATTTTATTAGAGGTCTGGGTGACTCCCAGATGGCTTTGGCTATAGGGATGAAGGATCCGACCAGTATCGAAAATGCACGTGAGATTCTGGAGACGTACTATAGTTTGAAGGACGAAACAAAGGCCAACACCAAAGTTCGAATGGTTCGACAAGGGAACAACAATGTTTCTCAAGAGCAGTTTTTGTCTTTCAAGAAAGAAATAGATAAAAAATTTGATGAGATTCTGTCTGTCATTAAAAAGCAAGATATGCAGCCAGAAAAATTCAAAAGAAGGGATTTATCTACTGTTGAGTGTTATAAGTGTCATAATTTAGGTCATTATGCACGTGATTGCACGAGTCAGCAGAGTGATAAAAATAAAGCGGAAAACTAGGTGGGACTAAGGCAGACGGCCTTGCGTTAGTCCAAAATCATAGTGAAAAAGTGATAAAAATTCATTTTAATGATACCTGCAATGGATTATCTTTGTTATTACCTGTGAAATTTGGTGATATCAGTGCAAATTTAGTAGTAGATACTGGAGCAGTTGTTACTATTGTTTCTTCTAATATCTATCATAGTGTGCCTTCTGATATTCGTCCATCATTGGAGAAAATTGATCCAAATTTTAAGCTTGAAGTTGCAAATGAAGGGTATCTCCCTATTTTAGGTAAAACTGTGATGAGTTTTAAAATTCATAAGGATATATTTAAGTTCAATGTGTTTATTGCACCAATTCAAGAAGATGGTCTTTTAGGTCTTGATTTTCTACAAGAAAATAATTTTGTGTTAAGTGCAGAAAATGGTTTGCGTCTAAATGGAAAGAAGTATCCTACGTTGATGGAATCTTCAGTTTTCAAAGTGATGCGTGTCAAAAGTTCAAAGTCAGTCATTGTACCAGCAAATAGTGAAGTGATAATAGAAGGAAGTTGTTCTGGCGGCAAAATTGATACCGAGTTTGGAATTGTTACGCCATTAAAAAAAGGTGATGATAGTGAAAATAGCTTAATTGTTGGCCATACGCTGGTCAACCCTCATTCTAAAAATGGTTGTGTTCCAATTCGTTTAATGAATATTAGCAATGAAAATGTAAAAATTGAAGCTAATACTACTCTTGGATATATTGAGAATGCTGAAAAAGTTAGTTTTTGTGAGAAAAATGAGTGTTTTGTTAATGAAAAGTGTGACTCAAAGCTTCCATCTCATTTAAATGAGCTTTATGAAAATTCAGTGAAAAATCTTAATTATGATCAAAGAGTGAAACTTAAGAATCTTTTGATTAAGCATTCAAATGTGTTTGCAAAGTCACCAAATGATTTCGGTCGTACATCTGTAATAAAGCACAACATCAATACTGGGGCAGCAAAGCCTATTAAGCAACGCCCTAGGCGCCCACCAAAAGCTTTCGCAAATGAAGAAGAGAAAATAATTAAAGATCAGTTAGCGGCCAATGTTATTCAGGAAAGTAATTCTCCTTGGGCGTCACCATTAGTATATGTCAGGAAACGTGATGGAACAACACGACCTTGTGTGGATTATCGTCAGCTTAACAACGTAACAGAAAAAGATGCATACCCCTTACCTAATATTAGTGATTGTTTGGAAAGTTTAGGGGGATCATCATATTTTTCGTGCTTGGATATTTTGTCAGCCTATTATCAGATTGAAGTTGATGAGGCTGATCGCCCAAAGACAGCCTTCACTACAAAATTCGGTTTATTTGAATATTTGGTAATGCCGTTCGGATTATGTAATGCACCGTCAACCTTCCAACGATGTATGGAATTAGTAATGAGAGGTCTTCAGTGGGAAATTTTGCTGATATACCTTGATGATTTGATTATTTTTGGCCGCACATTTGAAGAACATTTAGATAGGCTTGATTCAGTTTTAACGCGTTTGTGTGAGTGTGGAATGAAACTGAAGCCAAGCAAATGTTTTCTGTTAAAAACTGAAGTGTCATTCTTAGGACATGTAGTTAGTAAGGAGGGAATAAGCCCTCAAAAGTCTAAAGTTAGTTGTATTGCAAATTGGGAAAGGCCGTACGATTTAACAACTCTGCGATCCTTTCTTGGTTTTTGTTCATACTACAGGATATATATTCGTGATTTTTCCACAAGAGCTAGGCCATTAAATAGGTTGTTGGAGGCCGGACAACCATTCGAATGGTCTGATGAATGTCAGAAAAGTTTTGACGATTTACGCAGTGCCTTGACTGGTGATGAAGTCATGGCATTCCCTCAAGATGATGGATTATTCATACTTGATTGTGATGCGTCGAATTTCGGTATAGATGGAGTTTTGTCACAAATGCAGTTTAGTGAAAAACTTGGACAGTGTATCGAGAAGCCAATAGCATATGCGAGCAAAAGCTTGAATAAGGCTCAAAGACGCTATTGTGTAACACGTC